GAGGTGGCCGAGAGGTTAAGGCGATGGACTGCTAATCCATTGGGCTCTGCCCGCGTGGGTTCGAATCCCATCCTCGTCGAGTCGCGTAACTTTTTTTGTTCTCCCAGTAATCAGTCTTCGACACTAGTGTGTAAGCTGCACGGGTGGCCTGCAAGGCGGACGAGGTGGCCGAGAGTTTAGGAGATTGACTGCTAATTTATTGGGCTCGACCCGCGTGGGTTCGAATCCCATCCTCGTCGAGTCGCGTAACTTTTTTTTCTTCTCCCAGTGATCAGTCTTCGACACTAGTGTGTAAGCTGCACGAGGTGGCAGCAAGGCGGATGAGGTGGCCGAGAGGTTAAGGCGAGGGACTGCTAATCTTATTGGGCTCTGCCCGCGTGGGTTCGAATCCCATCCTCGTCGAGTCGCGTAACTTTTTTTGTTCTCCCAGTAATCGGTCTTCGACACTAGTGTGTAAGCTGCACGGATGGCCTGCAAGGCGGACGAGGTGGCCGAGAAGTTAAGGCGATGGACTGCTAATCCATTGGGCTCTGCCCGCGTGGGTTCGAATCCCATCCTCGTCGAGTCGCGTAACTTTTTTTTGTTCTCCCAGTGATCGGTCTTCGACACTAGTGTGTAAGCTGCACGATGGCCTGCAAGGCGGACGAGGTGGCCGAGAGGTTAAGGCGATGGACTGCTAATCCATTGGGCTCTGCCCGCGTGGGTTCGAATCCCATCCTCGTCGAGTCGCGTAACTTTTTTTTGTTCTCCCAGTGATCGGTCTTCGACACTAGTGTGTAAGCTGCACGGATGGCCTGCAAGGCGGACGAGGTGGCCGAGAGGTTAAGGCGATGGACTGCTAATTCATTGGGCTCTGCCCGCGTGGGTTCGAATCCCATCCTCGTCGAGTCGCGTAACTTTTTTTTGTTCTCCCAGTGATCGGTCTTCGACACTAGTGTGTAAGCTGCACGAATGGCCTGCAAGGCGGACGAGGTGGCCGAGAGGTTAAGGCGATGGACTGCTAATCCATTGGGCTCTGCCCGCGTGGGTTCGAATCCCATCCTCGTCGAGTCGCGTAACTTTTTTTGTTCTCCCAGTGATCGGTCTTCGACACTAGTGTGTAAGCTGCACGAATGGCCTGCAAGGCGGACGAGGTGGCCGAGAGGTTAAGGCGATGGACTGCTAATTCATTGGGCTCTGCCCGCGTGGGTTCGAATCCCATCCTCGTCGAGTCGCGTAACTTTTTTTGTTCTCCCAGTGATCGGTCTTCGACACTAGTGTGTAAGCTGCACGAATGGCCTGCAAGGCGGACGAGGTGGCCGAGAGGTTAAGGCGATGGACTGCTAATCCATTGGGCTCTGCCCGCGTGGGTTCGAATCCCATCCTCGTCGAGTCGCGTAACTTTTTTTGTTCTCCCAGTGATCGGTCTTCGACACTAGTGTGTAAGCTGCACGGATGGCCTGCAAGGCGGACGAGGTGGCCGAGAGGTTAAGGCGATGGACTGCTAATCCATTGGGCTCTGCCCGCGTGGGTTCGAATCCCATCCTCGTCGAGTCGCGTAACTTTTTTTGTTCTCCCAGTGATCGGTCTTCGACACTAGTGTGTAAGCTGCACGGATGGCCTGCAAGGCGGACGAGGTGGCCGAGAGGTTAAGGCGATGGACTGCTAATCCATTGGGCTCTGCCCGCGTGGGTTCGAATCCCATCCTCGTCGAGTCGCGTAACTTTTTTGTTCTCCCAGTGATCGGTCTTCGACACTAGTGTGTAAGCTGCACAGATGGCCTGCAAGGCGGACGAGGTGGCCGAGAGGTTAAGGCGATGGACTGCTAATCCATTGGGCTCTGCCCGCGTGGGTTCGAATCCCATCCTCGTCGAGTCGCGTAACTTTTTTTTGTTCTCCAGTGATCGGTCTTCGACACTAGTGTGTAAGCTGCACGAATGGCCTGCAAGGCGGACGAGGTGGCCGAGAGGTTAAGGCGATGGACTGCTAATCCATTGGGCTCTGCCCGCGTGGGTTCGAATCCCATCCTCGTCGAGTCGCGTAACTTTTTTTGTTCTCCCAGTGATCGGTCTTCGACACTAGTGTGTAAGCTGCACAGATGGCCTGCAAGGCGGACGAGGTGGCCGAGAGGTTAAGGCGATGGACTGCTAATCCATTGGGCTCTGCCCGCGTGGGTTCGAATCCCATCCTCGTCGAGTCGCGTAACTTTTTTTGTTCTCCCAGTGATCGGTCTTCGACACTAGTGTGTAAGCTGCACGAATGGCCTGCAAGGCGGACGAGGTGGCCGAGAGGTTAAGGCGATGGACTGCTAATTCCATTGGGCTCTGCCCGCGTGGGTTCGAATCCCATCCTCGTCGAGTCGCGTAACTTTTTTTGTTCTCCCAGTGATCGGTCTTCGACACTAGTGTGTAAGCTGCACGAATGGCCTGCAAGGCGGACGAGGTGGCCGAGAGGTTAAGGCGATGGACTGCTAATCCATTGGGCTCTGCCCGCGTGGGTTCGAATCCCATCCTCGTCGAGTCGCGTAACTTTTTTTGTTCTCCCAGTGATCGGTCTTCGACACTAGTGTGTAAGCTGCACGATGGCCTGCAAGGCGGACGAGGTGGCCGAGAGGTTAAGGCGATGGACTGCTAATCCATTGGGCTCTGCCCGCGTGGGTTCGAATCCCATCCTCGTCGAGTCGCGTAACTTTTTTTGTTCTCCCAGTGATCGGTCTTCGACACTAGTGTGTAAGCTGCACGAATGGCCTGCAAGGCGGACGAGGTGGCCGAGAGGTTAAGGCGATGGACTGCTAATCCATTGGGCTCTGCCCGCGTGGGTTCGAATCCCATCCTCGTCGAGTCGCGTAACTTTTTTTGTTCTCCCAGTGATCGGTCTTCGACACTAGTGTGTAAGCTGCACGATGGCCTGCAAGGCGGACGAGGTGGCCGAGAGGTTAAGGCGATGGACTGCTAATTCATTGGGCTCTGCCCGCGTGGGTTCGAATCCCATCCTCGTCGAGTCGCGTAACTTTTTTTGTTCTCCCAGTGATCGGTCTTCGACACTAGTGTGTAAGCTGCACGAATGGCCTGCAAGGCGGACGAGGTGGCCGAGAGGTTAAGGCGATGGACTGCTAATTCCATTGGGCTCTGCCCGCGTGGGTTCGAATCCCATCCTCGTCGAGTCGCGTAACTTTTTTTTTGTTCTCCCAGTGATCTGTCTACGACACTAGTGTGTAAGCTGCACGAATGGCCTGCAAGGCGGACGAGGTGGCCGAGAGGTTAAGGCGATGGACTGCTAATCCATTGGGCTCTGCCCGCGTGGGTTCGAATCCCATCCTCGTCGAGTCGCGTAACTTTTTTTGTTCTCCCAGTGATCTGTCTACGACACTAGTGTGTAAGCTGCACGAATGGCCTGCAAGGCGGACGAGGTGGCCGAGAGGTTAAGGCGATGGACTGCTAATCCATTGGGCTCTGCCCGCGTGGTTTCGAATCCCATCCTCGTCGAGTCGCGTAACTTTTTTTTGTTTTCCCAGTGATCGGTCTTCGACACTAGTGTGTAAGCTGCACGAATGGCTGCAAGGCGGACGAGGTGGCCGAGAGGTTAAGGGCGATGGACTGCTAATCCATTGGGCTCTGCCCGCGTGGGTTCGAATCCCATCCTCGTCGAGTCGCGTAACTTTTTTTTGTTCTCCCAGTGATCGGTCTTCGACACTAGTGTGTAAGCTGCACGGATGGCCTGCAAGGCGGACGAGGTGGCCGAGAGGTTAAGGCGATGGACTGCTAATCCATTGGGCTCTGCCCGCGTGGGTTCGAATCCCATCCTCGTCGAGTCGCGTAACTTTTTTTGTTCTCCCAGTGATCGGTCTTCGACACTAGTGTGTAAGCTGCACGGATGGCCTGCAAGGCGGACGAGGTGGCCGAGAGGTTAAGGCGATGAACTGCTAATCTATTGGGCTCTGCCCGCGTGGGTTCGAATCCCATCCTCGTCGAGTCGCGTAACTTTTTTTGTTCTCCCAGTGATCGGTCTTCGACACTAGTGTGTAAGCTGCACGAATGGCCTGCAAGGCGGACGAGGTGGCCGAGAGGTTAAGGCGATGGACTGCTAATCCATTGGGCTCTGCCCGCGTGGGTTCGAATCCCATCCTCGTCGAGTCGCGTAACTTTTTTTTTTCTCCCAGTGATCGGTCTTCGACACTAGTGTGTAAGCTGCACGAATGGCCTGCAAGGCGGACGAGGTGGCCGAGAGGTTAAGGCGATGACTGCTAATTCATTGGGCTCTGCCCGCGTGGGTTCGAATCCCATCCTCGTCGAGTCGCGTAACTTTTTTTTGTTCTCCCAGTGATCGGTCTTCGACACTAGTGTGTAAGCTGCACGGATGGCCTGCAAGGCGGACGAGGTGGCCGAGAGGTTAAGGCGATGGACTGCTAATCATTGGGCTCTGCCCGCGTGGGTTCGAATCCCATCCTCGTCGAGTCGCGTAACTTTTTTTGTTCTCCCAGTGATCGGTCTTCGACACTAGTGTGTAAGCTGCACAGATGGCCTGCAAGGCGGACGAGGTGGCCGAGAGGTTAAGGCGATGGACTGCTAATCCATTGGGCTCTGCCCGCGTGGGTTCGAATCCCATCCTCGTCGAGTCGCGTAACTTTTTTTGTTCTCCCAGTGATCGGTCTTCGACACTAGTGTGTAAGCTGCACGGATGGCCTGCAAGGCGGACGAGGTGGCCGAGAGGTTAAGGCGATGGACTGCTAATCCATTGGGCTCTGCCCGCGTGGGTTCGAATCCCATCCTCGTCGAGTCGCGTAACTTTTTTTGTTCTCCCAGTGATCGGTCTTCGACACTAGTTGTAAGCTGCACGGATGGCCTGCAAGGCGGACGAGGTGGCCGAGAGGTTAAGGCGATGGACTGCTAATCCATTGGGCTCTTCCGCGTGGGTTCGAATCCCATCCTCGTCGAGTCGCGTAACTTTTTTTGTTTCCCAGTGATCTGTCTACGACACTAGTGTGTAAGCTGCACGAATGGCCTGCAAGGCGGACGAGGTGGCCGAGAGGTTAAGGCGATGGACTGCTAATCCATTGGGCTCTGCCCGCGTGGGTTCGAATCCCATCCTCGTCGAGTCGCGTAACTTTTTTTGTTCTCCCAGTGATCGGTCTTCGACACTAGTGTGTAAGCTGCACGAATGGCCTGCAAGGCGGACGAGGTGGCCGAGAGGTTAAGGCGATGGACTGCTAATCCATTGGGCTCTGCCCGCGTGGGTTCGAATCCCATCCTCGTCGAGTCGCGTAACTTTTTTTGTTCTCCCAGTGATCTGTCTACGACACTAGTGTGTAAGCTGCACGAATGGCCTGCAAGGCGGACGAGGTGGCCGAGAGGTTAAGGCGATGGACTGCTAATCCATTGGGCTCTGCCCGCGTGGGTTCGAATCCCATCCTCGTCGAGTCGCGTAACTTTTTTTTGTTCTCCCAGTGATCGGTCTTCGACACTAGTGTGTAAGCTGCACGAATGGCCTGCAAGGCGGACGAGGTGGCCGAGAGGTTAAGGCGATGGACTGCTAATCCATTGGGCTCTGCCCGCGTGGGTTCGAATTCCATCCTCGTCGAGTCGCGTAACTTTTTTTTGTTCTCCCAGTGATCGGTCTTCGACACTAGTGTGTAAGCTGCACGATGGCCTGCAAGGCGGACGAGGTGGCCGAGAGGTTAAGGCGATGGACTGCTAATCCATTGGGCTCTGCCCGCGTGGGTTCGAATCCCATCCTCGTCGAGTCGCGTAACTTTTTTTTTCTTCTCCCAGTGATCGGTCTTCGACACTAGTGTGTAAGCTGCACGGATGGCCTGCAAGGCGGACGAGGTGGCCGAGAGGTTAAGGCGATGGACTGCTAATCCATTGGGCTCTGCCCGCGTGGTTCGAATCCCATCCTCGTCGAGTCGCGTAACTTTTTTTTGTCTCCCAGTGATCGGTCTTCGACACTAGTGTGTAAGCTGCACGGATGGCCTGCAAGGCGGACGAGGTGGCCGAGAGGTTAAGGCGATGGACTGCTAATTCCATTGGGCTCTGCCCGCGTGGGTTCGAATCCGATCCTCGTCGAGTCGCGTAACTTTTTTTTGTTCTCCCAGTAATCAGTCTTCGACACTAGTGTGTAAGCTGCACGAATGGCCTGCAAGGCGGACGAGGTGGCCGAGAGGTTAAGGCGATGGACTGCTAATCCATTGGGCTCTGCCCGCGTGGGTTCGAATCCCATCCTCGTCGAGTCGCGTAACTTTTTTTGTTCTCCCAGTGATCTGTCTTCGACACTAGTGTGTAAGCTGCACGAATGGCCTGCAAGGCGGACGAGGTGGCCGAGAGGTTAAGGCGATGGACTGCTAATCCATTGGGCTCTGCCCGCGTGGGTTCGAATCCCATCCTCGTCGAGTCGCGTAACTTTTTTTGTTCTCCCAGTGATCGGTCTTCGACACTAGTGTGTAAGCTGCACGAATGGCCTGCAAGGCGGACGAGGTGGCCGAGAGGTTAAGGCGATGGACTGCTAATCCATTGGGCTCTGCCCGCGTGGGTTCGAATCCCATCCTCGTCGAGTCGCGTAACTTTTTTTTGTTTTCCAGTGATCGGTCTTCGACACTAGTGTGTAAGCTGCACGGATGGCCTGCAAGGCGGACGAGGTGGCCGAGAGGTTAAGGCGATGGACTGCTAATTCATTGGGCTCTGCCCGCGTGGGTTCGAATCCCATCCTCGTCGAGTCGCGTAACTTTTTTTGTTCTCCAGTGATCGGTCTTCGACACTAGTGTGTAAGCTGCACGATGGGCTGCAAGGCGGACGAGGTGGCCGAGAGGTTAGGCGATGGACTGCTAATCCATTGGCTCTGCCCGCGTGGGTTCGAATCCCATCCTCGTCGAGTCGCGTAACTTTTTTTGTTCTCCCAGTGATCGGTCTACGACACTAGTGTGTAAGCTGCACGGATGGCCTGCAAGGCGGACGAGGTGGCCGAGAGGTTAAGGCGATGGACTGCTAATCCATTGGGCTCTGCCCGCGTGGGTTCGAATCCCATCCTCGTCGAGTCGCGTAACTTTTTTTGTTCTCCCAGTGATCGGTCTTCGACACTAGTGTGTAAGCTGCACGGATGGCCTGCAAGGCGGACGAGGTGGCCGAGAGGTTAAGGCGATGGACTGCTAATCCATTGGGCTCTGCCCGCGTGGGTTCGAATCCCATCCTCGTCGAGTCGCGTAACTTTTTTTTGTTCTCCCAGTGATCGGTCTTCGACACTAGTGTGTAAGCTGCACGAATGGCCTGCAAGGCGGACGAGGTGGCCGAGAGGTTAAGGCGATGGACTGCTAATCCATTGGGCTCTGCCCGCGTGGGTTCGAATCCCATCCTCGTCGAGTCGCGTAACTTTTTTTTGTTCTCCCAGTGATCGGTCTACGACACTAGTGTGTAAGCTGCACGATGGCCTGCAAGGCGGACGAGGTGGCCGAGAGGTTAAGGCGATGACTGCTAATCCATTGGGCTCTGCCCGCGTGGGTTCGAATCCATCCTCGTCGAGTCGCGTAACTTTTTTTGTTCTCCCAGTGATCGGTCTTCGACACTAGTGTGTAAGCTGCACGAATGGCCTGCAAGGCGGACGAGGTGGCCGAGAGGTTAAGGATTGACTGCTAATTTATTGGGCTCGGCCCGCGTGGGTTCGAATCCCATCCTCGTCGAGTCGCGTAACTTTTTTTTATGGCCTGCAAGGCGGACGAGGTGGCCGAGAAGTTAAGGCGATGGACTGCTAATTCATTGGGCTCTGCCCGCGTGGGTTCGAATCCCATCCTCGTCGAGTCGCGTAACTTTTTTTGTTCTCCCAGTGATCGGTCTACGACACTAGTGTGTAAGCTGCACGAATGGCCTGCAAGGCGGACGAGGTGGCCGAGAGGTTAAGGCGATGGACTGCTAATCCATTGGGCTCTGCCCACGTGGGTTCGAATCCCATCCTCGTCGAGTCGCGTAACTTTTTTTCTTCTCCCAGTGATCGGTCTTCGACACTAGTGTGTAAGCTGCACGAATGGCCTGCAAGGCGGACGAGGTGGCCGAGAGGTTAAGGCGATGGACTGCTAATCCATTGGGCTCTGCCCGCGTGGGTTCGAATCCCATCCTCGTCGAGTCGCGTAACTTTTTTTTCTGCCCGCGTGGGTTCGAATCCCATCCTCGTCGAGTCGCGTAACTTTTTTTCTCCGAGTGATGGGTCTTCGACACTAGTGTGTAAGCTGCAAGAATGACCTGCAAGGCGGGCGAGCTGGCCGAGAGGTTAAGACGATAAACTGCTAATGCATTGGGCTCTGCCCGCGTGGGTTCGAATCCCATCTTCGTCGAGTCGCGTAGCTTTTTTTGTTCTCCCAGTGATCGGTCTTCGACACTAGTATGTAAGCTGCACAGATGGGGTGCAAGTCGGACAAGGTGGCCGGGAGGTTATGGCGATGGACTGCTAATCCATTGGGCTCATTCCGCGTGGGTTCGAATCCCATCCTCGTCGAGTCGCGTAACTCATTTTGTTCTCCCAGTGATCTGTCTACGACACTAGTGTGTAAGCCGCACGAATGGCCTGCAAGGCAGACGAGGTGGCCGAGAGGTTAAGGATTGACTGCTAATTTATTGGGCTCGGCCCGCGTGGGTTCGAATCCCATCCTCGTCGAGTCGCGTAACTTTTTTTTGTTCTCCCAGTGATCGGTCTTCGACACTAGTGTGTAAGCTGCACGGATGGCCTGCAAGGCGGACGAGGTGGCCGAGAGGTTAAGGCGATGGACTGCTAATCCATTGGGCTCTGCCCGCGTGGGTTCGAATCCCATCCTCGTCGAGTCGCGTAACTTTTTTTTGTTCTCCCAGTGATCGGTCTTCGACACTAGTGTGTAAGCTGCACGATGGCCTGCAAGGCGGACGAGGTGGCCGAGAGGTTAAGGCGATGGACTGCTAATCCATTGGGCTCTGCCCGCGTGGGTTCGAATCCCATCCTCGTCGAGTCGCGTAACTTTTTTGTTCTCCCAGTGATCGGTCTTCGACACTAGTGTGTAAGCTGCACGAATGGCCTGCAAGGCGGACGAGGTGGCCGAGAGGTTAAGGCGATGGACTGCTAATCCATTGGGCTCTGCCCGCGTGGGTTCGAATCCGCTTGGGCCGTCACGTTCAAATGTGCCGAAGGTGCGAAGAGGCTGGTGGAAAAAAATCGGCAGATCCCACGTACCTGGGAATCAACTGTATGCGATGCACGCGGAGAGAAGGTAACCGTGTTCACTTTTTTTATTGAGCGACACGTCATGAAATTACGCTAAATATACGTGGAAGTGTTGCACGCAGAGACATAGGTTGAAGAGCTGCAGATGTTTATATAACCACTGTTCCACTTGCACAACGATGTCAGCTGGAAATGTGTTTTAGCAACACCAGAAGCTGATATGAAGCGCTGATGCTCACGAAGATGCTGACCCTTGACACTGCTACTTAAATCGATTTCAGCGAGAGACACTTTGCCACAATTGACGTTAACCCGACGTGACGGCTGTATGAAAGGAGTACATATGTAATGTTTATAAAATTGGGTAGGCAGCACTGCAACCACTATTGAGGTTTCACGAATATTAACGTCTATTTGGAAGGTAGTTTCGAGACCTGGCGTAGCTCTGTGGTATAATGCTTGACTGACATGCAGAATGCCTGGGTTCGATTCCTAGTTGCATTCGTCGGGTGGCCAACGCTGCCTATGCCAGGTGTTGTTTTTCTAACACTGACATTTATTTTATTCCTTAATTCGTTGGGTCAACGCTACAGATGTCGGGTATTGCTTAACGCCCACGCGTTAAAATTACCCATGTGTTTTCTCGTCGTTCCTGGGTAGATACTAAGTGTCAGTCACCTGTGGCACATACCCGCTTACCAGCGGCACATACCCGCCCGTGAGTACGTGCCACTGTCTGGCGAGAAGTGTTTGACGACGTACGCGACGGGATTTTGACATTATTTATGTCTTGACCAGCGCGTCATATTCGTCAAACCATCTTACCCTCCCATGGTAAGTTTAGTTCACGCCAAGGTAAGGGGGTCACCACGAGAGCAACCAAACGTAAGCGGCTAGATAAATGGATACGCTCAAAGTCACCGAAGTTTACTAAGAAATACTTCGCATTTAAAAGCGCAAGTGAAAGTGAAGGGCTAGCGTTGCGTCCTCAACGATCCATTCAACCAGGAGCTTCGGTCTAAGCTGCACTGGCTCTTGCCTACCGTTCCGGACGACGACGTGCGAGCGGCCTTCCTGAACTATGGCAGAGTGACCGATATTATCAAGGAACGGTGGAAAGTCAGTGGTGTGGCTGAAAAGGCGTCAACGACACAAAATGTGACGATGACACTTAAGGCGGCAGTCAAGCCAGAATATTTGACCCATCAGACAAGGATTGCTGGTGAGCTGGCCCTTGAGGTGGTGCCGGGAAGGGCACCGCTATGCCTTCGTTTCCAGTGCACCGGGCACACTCATCGGGACTGTAAGGTACCACGCTGCACGTTGTGTCGTCGCTTTGGACAAAACGAGTCGGAATGTGTCCGTACCTACGCCAGTGTTGCAGGGCCCGTGGGGTGCGACGACCACTCGGAGCTCCTAATGAATGAAGCAGATTCCGAGGCAGCAGCGAGAGTGAAGGCAAAAAGTGCCACGACGAATAGCATGCCAGCTGAGCAAATCTCGGGTGAGAGAGCTCACATAAAGTCGACGAACCTCAAAGCCGAAGATACATTGCTGGGGAAAAATGATTCCTCGGAAGCACTGCTGAGTCAGGAAGACAAAAGCGGCGTGACAGAGGTGGTCGGCAGAGAAGCAGTGAAGGTAATGTACATTTCCAGGAAGGGCACCACGACGAACAAGCGATCACACGAAGGCGCCAAGTGAGAGAGTGAATCTACCGACCCAAGCAGTCCCGGTGAACCTCCAGCAAAAGCAGCCCCTGTAGGTCGGCCGATAGTGCGGCCACGGGCGAACATCCCTCAGGATCGGAGGCCAATGGCGATAACGATGCCACCGCCACCGGCCATGTAGCAGTAAGCTGTGGAAGCCCCGATCTATATTGCGGGCCCCAAGGTCATGTGTCGACAAGAGCATAAGCCAATACTGTGGGTCTGTATTATAAATTATTCCAATGGCGCTGCCAGATAAACCCTTGAGATTTGCTACAATCAATGTTCGAGGGCTTGCGGCGAGGAGAAAACAACGACAGTTGTATAGACTGGTGATCGAACAATATTTAAACATCATTGCTATACAAGAAACCAAAATTGTAAGTGATGATGAGACCAAGAGTATGGTGCTACCTTTCATGTCAATGTGCTACGCGTGTGTGAGTCACGCCATAGGGCGATCCGCGGGGTGCGTTTTTTCTGGGCGCCAACACCCGGGCCTTCAAGGGAAGGGTGTGAGGTCGGACTTGGCGGGGCGCATGGTTTTGTGTGATTTTCGTTTTGGTTCAGTTGAATGGCGAGTGATATGGCTTTATGCTCCTAATTCACTCGATGAACGAAGACATTTCTTCGAGAGTGTCCAAAATTACTACAACGTCGAAAGAAACCTGGTACTTATGAGGGGCTTCAATTGTGTACTGGCAGCGCGTGATAAATCAAGTGGTACAGCGTATAGAGACGCCAGCACGGCTGGGCTTCGCAAAATAATTGATGAAAACGGCCTTGAGGACGTGGCAAAATGCTTAGATTACGACCTCATTGCGCGCTTCACGCATTTCCAGCCACGCCAGACTGGACAGAGTGTACGTTCCGGCTGAATTTATAGCACTTGCGCAAGAATATCGTGTGCAGTCGGTGTCATTTAGTGACCATTGTCTAGTCATGTTCGACGTTACTAACAAAGAGAAAAATCGAAATAAGTTTGCGTAGGAATTATGGAAACTTAATGCTAAAATTTTGGAGGATGGTGTTTCCCGTGAGAAAGTGTTAGCCCTGCTCGACGACATAAAGAACCAGCCAAACTCAACAATATGTGAAAGATGGGAAACAACTAAGCAAATACTTAAATTGAAGGCACTTGAAGGGGCCAGCGCTATAAAGCACGAAAAGAATAAGTACGAGGAAAACCTGCGGCAAAGCTTGCAAATGCTAACATATGAAGCAAGCCTATCGCCTGGGACGTTCAAAGACGACATTTACACGCTGAAGCAAAAACTTGAGCGGACAGATATCGAACGCTATCGGGGGGCGTTGGTGCGAGCTAGAGTAGAAGCAACGATAATAGGCGTGGCGCCAACTAAGAGAGCCATCGCAAAGAAAAGAAAGTGGGCCCAGTGGAACGAGATTTGCGAAGTTGAACAAGACTGTGTTATGTTAAATGAACAGAGTGACATTGAACACGTGTTCACAACGTTCTACAGAAAGCTGTTCGCGCGTTGCCCGGTGGACGCGGGGGGTTTCGAGACGGAATTAATGCCTTCAATGCCACATAGGCTCACATAGAGATAATGATTATGACTGGCGCGTCGTCCCATCTGTCCTTACTGTCACTGGCTGCGGCCATCCGACAGTCCGATCTGGAGACAAAAAATTGGCCCCGTATCTGCATGTAATCTGCAAATGTCGTCGAAATACGATAGTCTGGCGTGTGGAGAGAGTGAACAAAACATTTATTTGATGTTCTGCGCAAAAAAAAAATGGGGAATGGTATTCCGGAGGTGCTGCGTTAGAGTGCCTGGAGCGTGCAGCGGAGGCGAACGAGCGCATCAAGTCACGTCACATGTGAGACTTGAGCGCCATCTGGCAGTTTTTTTTTTTTTGAAAACAAAGCGCGTGGCCCTGAGACGGGCGTGCGTGCCCGTCTCAGAGGTGAGAAGGTGTAGAACGCAAGGCGACGGGTAGGTGCCACCACCGTGTCGTCTTAGCAAAGCGTCGGAAACTCAGTTCTTCGTGCAAGTGTTGCATGGTCAGCGCAGCGTGATAAGCGCAACGGTTGTTAGAATTACTTATGTATGTATTTTCTAGTAAAAGACGAACATGCAGAATATATACGTGTTGTTATGGTGCCTCAGATATGCGCAATAATTTCTTTTTAATTGACAATCGCACACGTAGGAACGCTAATTCTTGAGCAACATTGGTGGGCGCTGCGGATGAGGTCGGCCGCCGTTCGGAGAACCTCCTGGTGCTGTTGAGAGTACGTAGTTTGCGGTAACGGTGCACAGGCAAATGTACAGACAAACCTAAGTTTTTGCGTCGAAGGTCATCAAAGAAGACTATCGTCTTTATAATATTGGCCAATGTTTGATTCAGGCAAGCCATCTAATGCAGTAGTCCGGTACAACGAAACGTTACCATTCTCGCTACCGCAATGCAGCTTCGGACATTGGAACAGATAGAAAGAAGGTCGGATCAACTGCCTCACCTTTAATATTGTGTCAGCGCGGCCGGAAACTTTGGACAACCTCCGCACGTGTGGCATACCCAGAGCACCGCCACCACGACACTGCAATCACATTCTAGGCTTTTTATTCG